TTCTCTTGCCTTTCCCATTTTAAAGAATTGTAAGAGAAAACTGCTTATATCATGTTGCAGTTTTACTTTACAGGAGATTCCTTACCAATTTAAAGTTCATTAAAACTTTTAGCAATGTAAAACTAAAGTGCATATGGAAAAAAAAATACCTGAATTAATATTATTGTTAAAGTGTGTAACATTCCCCAAAACCATGTTTAGTTAGCTCCTTGCACTGCCTTGTTGCTGAAAAAATGCAATATAAATAACACTTCTTCTTGTTGTCTGCTAATAATAAAAAGCAAAAGCAAACATTATCCATAGAATAGGAAACCATATTTCTTTAAAATAGACTCTCTCCCCAAATATAAATTAATCACCCTCCCTCCCCCTCAACCACACACACACACACACACACAGCCCAAAGCAGATAAACGCAGATCTCTACTGTGTCCCTAAACGAATGCAATTTCACATTAACATAAATTAAAGGCACATAAACTTTCTTTAGAGGCTTCTTCTAACTAAATGTAATAAAGAACCTCTCCTCCTGGATTCATGTTTTATTCAACATTTGGATATGCTCAATTAGGAGCCCCTAATTAACATTAGCTGTCCTCCAACTATAGCTACTGAAGGAAGGAGCAAAGGAGAGGGAATTGGAGGAGGAGGAGGGTGGTTGTAAGGATTAGTGGTTGAATGAAAATTTTGGAAATCTGTTTTCATAATAACAAATTTACATCAACATCGAATGAATGAATTCATGTTCGTGGCTCATTCAGAACTTTATGAACAGTGAGCGCTGAACTTTTAATCTTAAAAAACATGACATTTTTGAACATAACTGGTTTACACAACTAAACAAGACATTGCTCTTTTGAAATATTAAGTTATCTGCATTAATTAGCATGCAAAAAATAAGATATGGATTCATTAAGTATTACCGCTTTTCTACCTGCTAAAACATTCAAATAGATAAATAGATAGTTACAGCTGGATTTTACTGTATTTGTAGCTCAGGTTAATAAATGTCTGTAAACTAATTATATTTTGTATTTTAGGCTGTCACAATTCCATCGTATGAGATAAGAACAAAACAGCTGCTACAATTTTATAGCTAATGGAGAACAATACCCTGCGTAACCTTGTTGTATAATCTGTAGAACAATAAGTGGATGCGCTGTTGTTCATGTAAAAATTGTTCGAAGTCACATGGTTTTGTTTTCAATATTTCAGTGTCTTTGATTTTTCTTTTCATTTTGAGAGAAAGAAAACTTGGGTGGTTTAAAATCCACAGATATCATTGGTAGATATGGAAGCCCATTTCTGCCACTCTGTTAAAAAAATAAAAAAAATAATTATCTCATAATAATGAGATACTATCTCGTAATAATGAGATACTATCTCATTATTACTATCTCATTATACTATCTCATTATAATGAGATAGTATCTCATTATTATGAGATAATTATTTTTTATTTTTTTTAACAGAGTGGCGGAAATGGGCTTCCACAGGGTAGAATATTCAACTTGAATTCTTAAAAAATATATATGTATGTATGCAACCCAGTGAAAACATGTTCTGATATGCATAATGTGTGCCTGAGTAAGTACATAAGAAAGTAACAGAAAAGATTGGAGGTTCAAAAGGTTTGACTTAACTTCTGATTCACAGAATGAGAGTACAACTGGTGTTTGAAACAGAATTATTAAGAAACTATTGTGACACTCCTTGTTGATAAAGCACATGATGGGATTCCTTTTGGTAGTCCGCCAGGTACTTAATCAACAGGAAGTGGCACAATACTTTTTGTAGCAACATGTGATGCTTTCCGAACATATGCTGGTGTTATTAGCTATGTAGTTATACTATACAACCAAATAAATATATGTTGCACAAATGCATCTGATTATAACTCACCAAGATCATGTAGGTGAATTATGAAATGTATATAAAATTATAACTATTTAAATCTAATCTCAAACGTTTGTGTACAAAATATTTTAGAGCACACTCTAAAATAATTACCACTTGTTTTTAAGAAAACAAGAGATAATGAAACTATGTTAGCTACAATAAAGAAAAGAACAAACAATGTTGTTCTTTTCTTTCTTTACATTTTGGTTCATACCAAACACAGAACCCAGATAAAGAGCAGTCTACCTATCTATTTAGGATTATTTATCTCAAGGTTTTTCGCAAGTTTCTTTTTGCCGTCATAAGAGTTATACATTTTTTATGATTTTGCCACCTTCCTACCTCTATGCCTCCTAAAATATTTTGATATTGCATTAACCATCAAATGTGAACAAATTTCAAGTTTCTGGAACAGAGAACCTTACGCTAAAATCTAACATTTGTTACTCTTTGCTTGGTGCATATCGATAACAATAAATCTGCCTAACCCTAGTCATATATTCCCAGAAGGATTAAAGAGGATTTACTTTCTATTTAACAAAACCAAATGCAAATCTGGATAATCCTATCCAGGGCATTGTCTGATTTAATATGTGGCCTCAGGACTTTAGTACAGGTAAGGATGGGGACTTAAACCCTGAACATTTCCGCTCAAGAACCACCACTTCACAGTCCAATTTAGCTCTGTGTGGCCTCTGCAGTCAACCTTCAGTTAAGCCTTCTACGCACATTAATATTAATATTAATACTCATTCCTACATCTCTAAATGATAGATCAAAAGATGATGTTGGCAGGTTATTATACCAGCACGAGTGCCATAACACTTCATATACAGTCAAACCACATGAAGCACAAAATCAATTATCATTGAGAATTCTATGAAATTTTCAACTGCTTTATTAACCAGCCTATAATGGACAGAAGCCAACATAGGTCAGAGATGAAAGGCATCAGAAAGAACATGAAGTCTATGTTTGATCTCCATATCAGATGGAACGGGAAAAACAAGTGGTAGTCCAAAGAAAGTAAAGAGATAAACTTTTTTAATAAATTGGAAAAGAGAGAAACAAAGATGACATGGGGAAAAGAGCAGGATAAGATTGAGTTACTTTCTTCTTTGCAGTTTTTACTTCTCTTATTTTCATCCTCTTTTTCTCACTTTTTTATCCTTCAAAAGCCTCGTATGGGCTGGAGTTGAAAATGAGCAAAGCTGCTTTAATACTAAGAAAAACAATTAATCTAATATTTTACTGCACTTGTAATTGTCCATAATTAAATCCATTAAAATGAATGAACGTCTATTACTGGCTAATGTGAGCAACGTTTGTAGCAACAATCTAGGACTCATACTAAGAATTTGAGAAGCAGAAACAAAGTGTTAAATTGGAATAAGTCAGAAGTTTGGGTCTAACTTCAGTCCAGCTAATAATGTTATCATATTTGAAAGCAGAAAGTTTGCAGGACTGGCAACCACTGCAAGTATCTAAATAAATAAACTGAATTAGAATGATGGAAAAAACTGTCAAATGTGAAATGATCATGAACAGACATGGATGGACTGGTGATATATCATGTACAAGGTTTGATGTATGCTAATGTCAGCTAGCATACATCAGCTAATGTCAACAAATTTAACAGATAAAGTAATCTAAACTGATTTTTCATTGCTTCACACATATAATCTCCTGCAAGTTGCAGTATGAACAGCTTTATATTCCTGGAAGCACATAAATTCAACAATCAAGTGCTTTGAGAGGCAGGAGATGAAAGAAACAGCACATTTAGCTGCTATGATACCTGCCAGGGGGGATCTAAATTATTTATAGCTGGAGAACGAGCCCAAAATCTTTGCGCTTCTTTTATTTTAAGAACACAAAATGGGATAAAAAGCAGATATAGCTGCAAATATTTAAAGAAAGGTTACATATTTTTCTTATCTGCTGGTTGTTATTATTAGATATATTTTAATACATTTTTTTAAAATAACTTTTTTGTTTTTTGCTATAATTACTAAAGCTGGTAGGTTTGCTCAAGCACTATTTTTTTTTACACTGATTAGTTATTAGCTCTTAAAATTCTATAAAATGTAAGTTTATTTTATTTTGTTGGATGAGTGTGTGTACACAATAGATATGTGTACAATAAAAAAATACTTGTTCTTTACAAATAGTATAACATTGAAAAAGGAATAAAAAAGCAATTCGCACCGATGTTAATATCCTTAAGGACACAAACATTTTCTACATATTGGATTATCTTGAATCCAACCTAATTTGTTGGGAAAAAATGCTATACTTGCATGTTTCTCTTTGTTTCAGGCTTGAAAATCAATAAAGCTCCATGTCAGATATTCACATAAACAGAAATCCATGTCTCATTTACATCTTTGATGTTTGCTGTAAGGATGGAAGCCTGGCCATGTGAAAAGACTAATGAAAATAAAACATGTTGCACTGTAACTTTCCTCACAGCTTACAAACACAGAACATTTGTGGTGAAACTTGTTTAGACCCAAGTACTGCTTTCTGCATGCTTACTAGTGCAACCAATATATCCTCTTTCACAAAACATAAACCCATAAGCACAATCCCCATCTGAGCTGCCTCTGGCCATTCATAAATCAATGTGCAGGTGGCGTCATCCTGCACAGCTGAGTTTTCAAAGTTCAGATGAGCAATGCAGAACGACAGGAGATGTCATGCAGTATTGAAGTCAGCACTGTTCATAAGCATCTCTGACAAAAGTTCCTCCTTATTTCAAAGTAATATGGGTGAATAAACTCAGTGTCGGGATCCTGTTCTTAAAAGATTAAAATATTTTTGATATTTTGGTGTTTTTAGAAATCTTATATGAGCCCATAATGGTCCTGCTTTATGACAGACAGCAGATTTAAATGTCCAAAGTGATTTAATAATGCAGGTTATGTCTGTCCTGTGGAACCATTGATCGTTAGCAATGTAATAAATGCAGCTACTTTCCCTAAATTCAAAATGTACATGAAGCAACTGAAGAGTGTAAAAGTGAAATTCACTTTGGAGCTACGAACACTTCAGGCCTTTTGTCGTGTTCGCTACATTCAAAATACTCATCACAGACTTACCTGCCGGACACTCCTCCTCATCTGCTCCGTTTTCACAGTCCCTCTCTCCGTCACATCGCCACGATAGCGAAACACATTTGCTGGCTACCCCTCCACAATCAAACTTCTCTGGAGGACAAGTCTGTCGGCCTGTTGTGAGAGAGGGGCGGGAAAGCAAAAGAATGAAGACAGAAGGAATGACAGAGAAGGGAAACATGGCAAAAAGGAGGGGAAAATGGGAATAGAGAAAAAAGACAGGGAAGGCAAAAATGGGACGAGAAATGGAGAGAAAAGGGACAGCCAGTCAATGAAACAGTTTGATAACTTGGTTATCTTGTTGCTCAAATCGATTTCTTCTCAAAGGCCTGCAATTTAACTAGACACACAGCGACAGTGGAACAAAGAAGAACACTGTCGGGGCAGGCACAAAGCTGTGAAATACACAAATACACAAAGATAAAAAAGAAATGCTGAAGAAAAACAAGCACTACTGTGTGTAAATGTAGCTGGGAATAAAATGGTAAAGATTTCTTCACCATCAACAACCTAATAAATTCCTTGTATACACACAGCTGAAATCCAAGCAAAAAATAGTTAAAAATAAAAATGGTGACTAAAAGAATAACAAAATGCAGTTGTGGCATAAACTACTGTATTGTCTGCATTTATTTTTTCTGTTTTTCTAATGAAAATGTGTAAAATTAAATTAAAGTATCTCACAGCTTGTCAACAAGTCTCTCGAAAAACTCTGTGCATGTGAGTAAGAACAAAGGCCCAACGGTAAAAGCCCATTACTGTACAAGCCATTGTTCCTCCATGGGGGCTGGTAAAAATGAAAAATACAGTATTTTTACACATCAAATTTTCAACGAGTCCCCACAACAAATCCCTGTCCTTTCTCCTTTCAAACAGGCACACACACACACACACACACACACACAATCGTGCACACACACACACACTTTGTATAACACCAAAGAGACTCCAGCCCCAGATCACATTACACGGCTGTGTCAAACCCAACTCCATCAATTATACATATTTGACCACCGGCGTGCTTCCTGGCAGCACGGTTGTGTTTGTGTGTGTTGCAGCCACAGATCAATAGCACCTCTGGGATTTGCCCATTCCAGACTCATTCCTTTTTTATTCATCTCATATTTCTTCTTTCTCATTTTGATTTTCACCAGCGTTTTTTCATCTCATACCGTTCAAATGTTGTTTGTCGTAAAAGAAGGTTTGAGCATTGCTGCGTTTTCTGCAGCACTGGCTGACAGGTTCTACCTCTACAACTGAATGCAATTTAGTTTTCAGCTTTTCTGGTTTTGGGGTCCAGAAATTAGACTAATCTTCAGTAAATAGAGTACGCATCCTGATGGGGCTCAATTGTGCCTTTTGAAAATTGACAACCTTTAAGCATGTATTCAACATACTTTTCAACAAGTCAACATATCTGTGTTAAAAATGTGTTATTGGTCTAATGTAATATTTAAATAATAATAATAAAAAAAAACATTTCCATTATCTGCAAGTGTAAAATTATCATAATTTGCAGAAAAGGCTTTCAGACATCCATCTCTGTGTAATTAGGCTACATAATGTGTTTCATTTGTGATAAAATTCCTGAAATAAGTGGATTTTTCAATAATCTTCTAATTTATTGAATGAGTCTGAAGACCCTATTCATCTACTTTTCCTACTTAGTCTATATTAGTTTTGGGTTCCACCTTCCCTCTTTCTTTCTTACTTATAATGAATAAGAAACTCCTCTATGCATTTTTCCCTTAAAATAAATTTGATTTGGCCATTAAAATGTAAAATCATTCTGAAAACCATTGCCTAAAATATATAAGCATAAGTGCCAGATCATGTCTGGTAATTCCTGCAGTGACGATGAGAATTTGAATGTGCATTTATATACTTACCAGCTCAAATCAGCTCCACTACCTAATGTGAAGGTACTTGTATAAAAATAATGATGTACATGAAAGCCAGAAACTGTATAAAAGAAGTGCTTTGAGCCATAAAAACATTACTAATTGGTTACTGCTGTTTTGAATCCACTCTGGCATTTAGCCACTATTGTTTTGGCAAGGTGATCGCGATGGAGATACTTTAAATTCAGAAAAAATATCCGTCTTCAGGCCATCCACTTAAAAATAATACCACATTTATATAACTCAAGAAACAACTGCACAATTTTAAGGGAAATTGTAAATATGCTAAATAATTGTGTCTCAGTGGGATGGATGTTGGTAACTGTTGCCTTGTAGCAAGAAGGTCTTGGGTTAGAATCCCAGTGAGGGGTCTTTCTTCATGGAGTTTCTCTAAATTGCCCTCAAGTGTGAGTGTGTGATTAATTGTCTTGGTACGTCTCGTCTGTCACCCACTGGCCGCTGGAGATAGGTCTGTTCTCGTTCCCTGCTGTTTTCAATCACCTGATCTGCCTCACCTGCAGTTCAAGTGTCATACTGCCATGTTGCTATCTGCTTCTTTGCTCAAAGTCTGTAACTTTTCAGTAATTGTTTATTAAGAAAAACACACTCTGACCTTCCCAAACCTACAAACCATGGCAGATTGCAAGGTCTACATTCAAAACATCAAAAATATTTTTGGTGAGGAAGCCCGGTACAATTTGATATTACATTTATCCAAAGGCATTCCAAACATCTGGTAATCTCCAATAAAGAATACTTCACCAGTGTCACTATGCTAGACCTAAGCAACAACATAGTTCATTAAATTTTGCCCCATCCAGGGCAAAAGCCATGACTGAAACTGAAGAACACCATGAACAGAGGGGTGGTTATGTTCTTATTAGAGCGTTTCCATGAAGAGTATTTTACTCTAAAGGAGAGTCAAGAAAGAATATACGTTCTCAACTAGGCTATGACCAACCAAGAGCTTGCAGACATATTTAATGCTAGGTAAGTTTTAGAAGTAGCACAATGATACTCTACCTAGGAAGAAAAATAAGGAAGACTCGAGATACTAGCTTCTGCTGTATTGCCAAGATGGTTTTCACTGTGGAACTGCATATTAAAGTATATTTGGTGCTTGAACTAATAAAGTAAGCCAAAATAGGATAAGACCTTGCTTTCAATGACAAACACCACAGTTACTTTGCAACTTTGAAAGGGAATTTTATCCAAATAATTCTGGTTGTATGTATACATTTGCATTTGTATGTAAAATCCTGACCATGTCTGGACTGGAGGAAATCCACAATAGGTTAAAACCTGTACATTCAGTTCTTGTTTAAAAAAGTTGCATAATAATAATAATAATAATAATAATAATAATAATAATAATAAAACATACAGATTACTTTTTAATGTTAAGTGATTGACCTTGTGCCATCAATCATTGTCTTCAGGAAGTGCAAAGCAGAACTGGAATCAGGTGTCCTGTTTGTGCGCACAAACTTGACAAAGCTGATTATGAAACAAGGAGAACTAAATATGGAAGATGAATCACACAAGAGCATTCAAAACATACGTTGTAGCAAAATATAATGCAATTTCTTTATTTCTTAAATGGTGCAATTTACACTTGACTCGAAGCGCTGCTCACCATTCAGATGAGAGGAAACTTTGATGGGATATAATTTCCTAATATACCAAAAGATTAATTTCACCAAATAAAATAATACAAATTATTCATAGAAAGCTAATCTCTATTAGTAGTAATGGTATTCTTTCGGCTGACTGACCCTCTTATCACCGTATTCTGAATCTGTTCACAAGTATTACATGGAAGTGCAGCCTAACGCCTTCTGTGCAATAATGCATTAGTCTTTTACAAGTCCTCACAAAGAAGAAACATCCTTTGGGGGGGATCCACTAAATATCTGACTGACAGCTGAGTTAAAAGGAAGTAATTTGTCTGACTGGCCCTGGGCCCTGGGTGTCTGGAAGGGACAGTCATAGAAGAGCTGCCTGTCAAACAGTGGAATACAGATGAGTGAGAACAACAGAGAGTTCTGCTGACATTGATTATGACTAAATAAATTAAACGATTTTCATCCCAAGGACAATAATACTCAGGAAAAAAAAGGAGAATTCAAGTTCCCTACTATTGAACATTTAGGCTCTTATCTATAGCTACTTGAAAGACTGTTCAGGTGTTTGCTGTTAAATCAGAGAATATGGACTAACCAATACTATCTGAGGACAGTAATACAAATTACATTTTCTAAAAAATGTGCAAAGTTTTAACAGAAAGGTGGTTTATTATTTAGCCTCTAGCACCTTAAATTAAAACAAAGTTTACACCCACAACATAAAGTATGGCGGTAGAGAGCAAACATACAAAAATTAACCAATCAGAGGCATTAAGTTAGAGACTGAGAGTTGAGAGAAAAAGAGAGACAAATGCTGATGTCTAAAAGGCCACTCAGTTTGGTCACTGCCAATGACAGTAGAACTGATATTATCCACGAATCAGTGAAGCAGCTTGGTGGTGAGATGTAAGATGTGTTTGTTTAACACAGCAGCTCCCATGTGGATGTATCCGTTATCAAATGAGTGTAAAACAGGGTCAGAACAGCGAGCAGACAGTGAATATGTACAGGATATATCGGGGCAAACGAAGCAAGCAAATCCATTTAGGTGATTCCAACCTTTTTTGCACTTCCATTTCTGTGGCATACAGTATATATATATATATATATATATATATATATATATATATATATATACGAATGTGGCTATTAGAAATACCCAGCATTTTTGAACAGTTGCTATGAATTTCCATAACAAAAATCAGAGAAAATACCAGCACCATTTTTTAAGTGTGAGGTTGAAGACCATGTACTTTTTCTTTTTTACAGTATTTTCCACAAATATCATAACCCCCTATAAAAGGAACGGTAATGTTGCAAATGTTTTGTGATTTTCTCCATTTTAGAAATGCAGTTTTGGTTATTTAAAAATGGCACCAATTTTCTACAGTAAATATTTATAAAAAATATAAGCTGTCATATTTCAAAAAGACTTTTGTGGGTCTAAATGAGTTTAATGTAGTTGTTTCTGGAGCAAAATTGGCTCTTTGAATTGTAAAGATAGACCACTGCAATAATGTGCAGGAAAGGATAAAATTCTTTATGAAATACTGAAAATACCACAAATAAATATTAATCCTTCCCATTT